ACTTCAAATAAACATCTAAAACAAAACAAGATAAAGAATGAGAAGAGAACCTAGGTAGATCTAACATGAACTTTAGGATAGCTAACATAGAAACCAAACTAAGGGCCATACACTTACCCTAAGTTGGTCTGATTATATAAATCTTGGTTAGTATAGGTACCAGTTAGTGCTAAGGAATATGAATTATAAAACAAAAAACCTATCACCTAAAACTAGAGGGAATACCTTATAATAAAGTAACCCATGGTTATTGAAAATTGTATTTTAGATTGCTTCAAAACTATGAATCCTCCATGCTTCGACATATCAGAAGGATTCCTGCTTATGAGGTTGGTCATAGTTGACAGATACCAACGTCATGGAATGACGGAAAACCATGAGCATCTTGACCGAGAATGTTATTCCTAAAGTTTAGGTTAGTCCTCCTATAACGTTCCTTATAATGTCTAGGGTTTCATTTACCTTTTAGAAATCTTTTCCCACCTGACCCTATCTTTTGCTTTGGGTTTCCTATAATTCCTGTCAATCAAATCTAACAACCCCTTATCCTTTGACTTTACCTAATTAGTTTTTCAATGATGGTCGTTTGTTATAGGTAATTTGGTTGATGTTTTGCACACAAACAAGTGAATTATTATGCAGTCAAATATGTAATGAGGCTTTTGACACCTTAGGTTTTCATAATGTTAGCTAGAGCCATGATGGAAAAAAATAAATAGCTCACTCGATCACCAATTGCAACTAATGTAATCATCCCCACTTATTTTCTACAGATATCATCCGACCTTAAAGCACACATCAAACATGATATTGTTAACCACATATAATACATGGTTTTACCACACATGACATTGTTAACCATAAATACTATATGGTCCTAGACCTTTCATGACACTAGTAACCACACATACTGCATGATCTTACAACACATGACATTGTTAACCACAAATACTATATGGTCTTACAACACACAACACATTGTTAACCATCGATACGACATTGTATTAAAACACACATCATACTATTAACCATAAATACTACATGCTCTTCCCACACATGATAGTTAACCACATATACTACTTGGTTTTAGTCTATACACGACACTGCTAGCCACAAATATTGTCCAGTCTTAATAACACATACGACACTATTAACCATAGATACTACTGATCTTAAAACACACATCACACTATTAAACATAGATACTTCCTGATCTTAGAGCATGTATGATTTAATTGGTGCTTGACCAAAGTAAAATATGTTGAGATTTTCGTACCTCTTTTATACTGCTTTTAATGATATTGCACTTTAAAGAAATGTATTTTTGATGTTTTGTTGCAGGAATGATGAATTAAGGTCAATGGAGCAAAAAGATGCAAAAAGGAGCAAATTTGGAGCAAAAAGGACTAAAATGTGGAGAATTACACTAGGGCGCCGACGGCTCCATCGACGCCGCCGACGACGAGCTTTTCCCGAGGCAACAGAACAAAATCTCCAGAAGGCCGCTGACGGCGCCATCGAGGCCACTGATGGCGGGATTGACGGTTATGTGTACTTGTACAATTGATAAGGCCAAATTTTAGAGAGGTGCATAAAAAAATCTTGGGAAAACTCATCCACATCCTTAAAGAGAAGATTTTGGCCGAAAATAGAGTAGTCCTGAAGATTAGATATATTCCATTAGTGTGTAGAGAGCTTGCTAGAGTGTGTAACTGTGAGGAATTCTTCGAGAAATTGTAAGAGTGGAGGGAAAGTGAGAGATTTCTTCCTCCTTGCTACTTCAAAGAGGAATTCCGTGTGCTGTAAAGAAAGGAAGAGATTCAGAGGAACTTCAAGGAGTGTTCTTGGGAATAAATTTAGAGATAAGTTATTTACTTGTTATAGTTTGTATGGCTTTGATTTTTTATATGAATTCCAAGTTTTGTTGTGCTTTCCCCATGAGTTCAGAGTAGTTTTCTCTGTCTTTCTCCTTGTCTCGAGATTTTGTGAAATGGTGATTTGAATTGGTGAAGCCATGAAAATGTTTAAGAAGTTGTGATGATCTTTTCACTTCAATCTTAATTTACTTTCAATCT